CTATCACGTACGCCGTGCAATCCCAGCTCCTTACGTGCGTACGCATGCGTGTGTGATATTCTCGCTAACAGCACTTCTTGCCCCAACAGTCTGATAAGGCTATACAGGGGATCTTTATCTTTGACATTCTCTACTTGTCCAGCACACAGGTCCCCCTTGCAAATGAGACTCATCCTGATCCCTTGAGTTCCCACCGGATAAACAAAATGCACTCGATGTGCACGTGACATGCTGGAAACTGGTGCCACGTCTCCAACACCACTGGGAAGCGTGGCTCTACCCCAACAGCACTGGGACAGCCGTGAACCATGCCAGGGTGAGCATCAGTGCCCAGGCTCCACGAGCCGCCCACCACCCTCTAGCCTCCACAGCCAGCGTGGGGGGGGGGGGGGGGGGTCAGGAATTAAAAATAAAAACGTTAAACACATTGTTGGGTTAGTTTCGGCTATTTAAGTTCGAACCACTCTTTGTAATTTTATGGCGTGCGAGTTTAACACGAGCGCCACTGGACAGTCGAACTGCGCCACCGACCTCGCGGGCGGCGCTGGCACCGCGACGTTGTTGTGAGGCTCGGGGTGAATGTGCTCCACCCCCTGCGTCGCGTCGAGCGCCCGGCCAGCATGCACGCCCGTGGTGGTGGTGGTGGGAACGCAGCGCGAAGTGGCCGGCACGCCACGCCGCCACACACACCGCGCTGCACTTTCGGGTGCGCTCCTGCGGCCGTCTGGAACGCTCTTCCTTCTGATATTAGGAAGCCACTGGAGCTATGCACTTTTACATCTAGATTTAAAAACTAATTTCTTTAAAACGGCTTTTTGTCTGTTAGTCTGTTGTCCTTCCCCCGCACCTCCGATTAGCACGGTTGGCTAAGTACGGTGCGAAAGAAGTGAGCATGGCGTACACGAACGAGTAGGCCGAGAGAAACGTCACGGAGATGAAATGAGGGCTGAACAGAGGGCAGGCGAGAAAAAAGTGACAGATACGCGGCACAGGATGTGGCAGTCTCTCTCTGTGCTCTGCGACATCCCCGCCTGGAGGAACGTTTGTCTTCTACGTTTTGCCTCGTTTGGAAGTAGGAACTTTGGCGAACCTTCGACGCTCAAAAGTAGCGCTGCATGGACACAGGCATGAATCTTCCTTCAAAAAATATCCCGAGGCGGAAGATTCCTGCTGGATGCAACTGCGTTTGCAAACGTGATTTGTAACTTAGATCCTTACCCATGTATCGATAGTTACATTTTAATGTGCGTTGTTGTCTTGATGTGGTCTGGGACCGTTCTTGCTGTTGTTTTGCTGCCTTGCCCAAGCATGGGAATTGGTGTACTTATGCAATTTGAACGTATACTCTTATAGAATAAAACATTTCACCTGAGGACAATTGCTTGTGTTGCGATCGAAACGTCGTGACTTTTTTTTCTATCTACGTGACTTTACCGAAAGACCCAAAGAGTATGAATTCCTGCAGTCACGAAAGCTTTAAGTCAAGATTCAATTTGAACTTACATACCTCATCGATTGTATGTTAGTTTTAGACATTTGCGTACTTCCCCTATACTTTGCATCCCTGATATTTTTGTATCGTTTGTTGTTGTAACTTTCTGACCTGCCACCGAATGGACATTTCTCCAGGGATAGATAAAGATTCTGATCCTAAAAGACTCTGAGGCGATTTCCAAAACGCCGACGAATGTCACCGACTCAGGGCCACTTTCAACCAGAATCACCGGAGCACGCCGATAGATCGGAGCTGCTCCTCGCTCACCAACTCGGCCACTCGCACGGCGGGCAGGAAGGGGGCAGGAAGGGGGGGGCCGCCCCCGTCCCATCGAGCCATGAGGGCGAGACGACGACGAGAGACGCGCGGCAGCACATTACAAGTGACAGATTAAGATAATCGGATTGCCGAGGCAGAAACGGGTAACAGTGCGTAATCTGATTACCCTTATTTAGTACGCACAGGTCGATCGCTCTGGATGATAACTTTTATTTTATAGATTTAAAAATGTTTCCAAACACAATTAAGTGTGCGGGAGGGGGGAACAAACGAGTCAGCAGTTTGGATTAAAAGTGAGGTGAGCAGCCGCCAATGCACACGCAGCACTGTACAGGAGCCGAAAAACATGATCTAAGTGTACAAAGCAGAAGTGCTGTTCAGCCCAAGATTACAACCAACACACACGCTAATTTAAAGGAAATCGAGCAATGCCATTATGTTGCTTTGAAAATACCGAAGACACGATTATATTAGATTAGTTCTAAAAGTGGAGGCGCCGGAGGCTCCGAGGTCAGAGCGCTGAGCCGGCACTGCTGAGCTTCCACTTCCAATCCGGGTTTGTAACGCAGTCAGTCATTCAACTGCGCCCCTCCAGCATAGCTCGTTGGCTAGGCCCAGCCACCAATCATTAATTGCACGCAAGACATCACACATTTGCTTTTCACTTGATTGGACTAAGTATGTAGATTGGACGAGATTGCGAACATCGGTTTGTCACGCAACAACCGCGGAGCAGAGTGAGTGGAAGAGAGAGCTCCCTCAATGTGGCTATGCGGGAGATTCTGTTTGTGAGAAGCCTCTCGCGAAAAAGCCTTCCCTGTAGGCCCATTCTCTGACACCTGGGGTACGCTTGTGTGAGGGAATTCCAAAAGGATTCTTCATCTCATAACACGATGCCGATAGCATGACTAAAACACACTGTGGGGGGGGGGGGAGAATCTGTACACTAAAGTAAATATTATTTCAAAAACCTCAATATCAGAAATCAGAGACTAATTAATTTTAAGTGTAACCCTCCCGGCACTGCATGAACAACGTCAATGCTGAAACGTCGTCTTCGCCCAGAGCTTCCGACATCCCCGAGAATTCCCTGACACTAGCAGCGGCAATAAGTGTGGACTCCCCCTGCTGTCCCCACTAGATAAAGTGATTCACAGAAAACAAGGGCACATTAGCCCAATCCCACAACCTAAACGATGAACACACACAGAAGGCCCCTGCTCCGCGACAGCGTCCGCTGCCGAGCATTCACCACGCTGGGGTGTGGGGCACCGTGGAAATGCTTGCCGCTCCCCTCCTCCATCGAGGGGTGTTCAGCCACAGCCAATGCTGCCACAGCCAACATCACAGTCCACGCCACAGTCAATCGCATAGCCAAAGCTGCCATAGCCATCACTGCCACAGCCTACGCTAAAGTCAATGCCACGTTGCCTCTCTGCACGATAGCCCCCGGCCCTCCTGCCTCAACCAAAAAATGGTGACTTAAAAAAACCGATCCTCCCTTCAAAAGCCCTGTCAGGACCGTATCTTGAGATCCCGTCACATTTGTACACCTGATTAGTCCAAGCCGCGTTGTATCTAATGTATAATGTATGCATGTGGAAGCATATTTTATGTATATTTAAACACTCTGAGGCACGAATCCCTCACATCTAAGAAGAGCTTATCCACAGTTCCAAGTAACCCAACATCCTCTCATCTGCAGACCCTTATAGATTTGTATATATGAAAAAGAAAAAAACTTAACAAGAAACTAAGGAATAACCATACACCACAAAGGAGTATTCCAGTCCTAAATCGCTCAAACTTTTGACGACGATGATTGTACCTGATGAAGCCGCTTCAAAGCGACCCTCATTCTGATCTCCGGAGCCGTTACAATCGCAGACGTCGGATCCGCAACAGGCGGCACCGCTCCCTCATTGGCTCACTAAAATGTTCGCTGCACTGCCTCTACCCGTGTCGTCACACGTGACTTCACTTGTGTTCATGCTGTCCGCTGTAGGAACATGGCAGTAGGCAAGTGATACATTTTTACGATGTGAGGATCTGCGGATAGCCAACTAGGAAAGGGTGTTTGGGAATTCCGATCACGTGTGCTACCCAGCCAGCAAGCAATTTCTGGGCCTACCTCTGCAGAAGAGGCTGCTGTTGTGAACTGCAAAGGTCACAACACGGATTCACAATTACATTGATGAGACACTGTCAAAACCTTTCCGGAGTGTTCTTGTGTCGAACAAATTGTTAGAGCGAGCCTGACCTTGCCGATGGCGTACCGAATGTCGACACACATCCGGTATTTGCTTGTGCTGCACCAACACCGCTGAGATTATTCGCTCTGAAAAATGCAGTGCGGCTGACGGGAAGAGGAAAAAAAGCTTCCATATTTTTTCACGTGGAGGGCCAAATATGCGGAGGTGTATTGACTGCTTATTTATGTTGTGACGACAAAATGCAGATAAAAATGTTCGGCATAAAAAAAATGACCCTAAAACGCAAATGTGCGTGATTTGAACAGGAAAAAAACAGAGCCAGGATGAATCTAAAGAACGCTTGAGGCTCCCGAGCTAGTGGACAAAAAACGTCATGGGTGTCAAAGCAAGACTACATACAAGGAAATAGAAGATTGGGCTTGAATGAAAGCAAACGATGACACAACTTGCTTGGAATTTAAATCATTAAATGGCGAAGTCAGGGCCAGCGATCCTGCCATGGTGTAACGGTTTATCGCACTGGACATGCAATCCAGGGGTCACCGGTTTGATCCTATCTCCTCGCGCCACAGGGGACAAGTTTCGTACATCCCCGTCACTTCCTCTGTCCAGCCGGCGGCACGGATGGGTTCGCCACGGTGAGTCGATCGGCAGGTCCCGTCTGGTGGGCTAAAGAAGCATGGGTAGCCTCATCTCTTCCGAGAAGCCTGGCTAGACGAGGAAGAGTAGGCCAAATACACCTCTACTTATTTACGTTGAACTTATTTGGCACCGCACGAAGCTAACTGCGCTTATCGGGAGGGGGGGAGTTCCCTGGAGCCCCCCTCTAAGGGAGCCCCCCCCCCATCGTCCAGCCAGCAGCGGCGCCAGAGAGCGATTTCAGGTGGGAAACCTTTCTGTCAGCGCCTTCGAGGGCCAGCGCCCGCTACCACAGGCAAACAACTGGCGGCACTCGCCACGAGCCAGGCAGAGCGCCCGGGGCTCCACCGCCCACCCTCCCCACCACTCCTCACCTTCAGTGGGCGAGGTCTTGAGCCTTTTGCAGAGGCCGTAGACGTCGCCGTAGGAGTCCTGCAGCTTGCACAGCGCTTCGGCCCCACGCAGCTCCATGAGGCCCCGCAGCTCTGGCAGGGAGCACCCGAAATCGCTGTCGTGGTTCGCCTCCGAGCGAGGGCTCTTGGGCAGAAAATCCACCGTGCTGTTCGCCATGTCTCCCATCGTTCCGCCGTCCCGTGTCCCGGGAGGGAACCACGATTTTTGTTTCGTCGCAGGAAGGAGATTGGGACCAATTGAGAGCGGATTCCGAAATTTCCCTAAGCAGCGTCAGGTGTCAACATTGTAAAAATAAACACTTGGGAAAGTGTCAAATTTTACTAATGTTATGTTTCCAACAAAACAGGGATCAGTTAGCTTTTTATATTATTAAATGTGATTTTAAAAGATATTTGTGGCTATCCGAAAGGGGGCAGTCAGGTGGGGCCTATTCACAACCGGATTCCTGACAAGCACGACTCCATCTGCAGGGGAGAGCAAACACTGTCGATCCGCCACAGTGGCTGCCCCGACGCCGAACAGTTCCAGAAGAAATCCAAGACGCCTGGCTCCTCACAGCTGGCAGACGCTCGGCGCATAATTCCATACATGGCCTCCATCCATGTCGCCGGTGTCCGCGGTTGCTTTGTCGCTCGCTTCCCCAGCAGTGTCAGCCGGAAGTGGTCCCTGCGATCGACAGTGAGGGAAAGGGTGGCGGAGCGCCATTGTTGGAACGACAACAAGGAGGACGGAAAGCGATCAACCTTCGCTTCAAAAACCCGGCCGTGCGAAGCAGCAAGTCTGACGAGGATGCATTTATAGCATTCGAAAATTTGTACTCTCAGACTAATAGAGGCCATTACAACGTCCAAAATATCAATAAATTGTCGCGACATATTAGGTGCAGCATTATTTATTTATATATTTTTTATTTATGACGCGGCTCGGCCGCCCCACACCATGCATGGGGGGGGGGGGAAGGCAGCGATCCCACGATCCGTTATGGAATCCAGCAAGCCCCAACCTTTAACCCACAGCCATGGCCACCGTCCTTCACAAACCTGCGCTGACCAACGACTGACACTGCATGGGGAGGCTTTCGACCAACCAGTCGATCGGAAAAAGAACTGTGAATTATTTATTGATCACGGTGTGATGAGTATATACGCCGTGCAATAAAGGCTGCACACAAATGCAAAGCACACCATGTACGGCATGTGTGTGTTTACACTCTGCAAAGGACGTCGTTATGACTTGATGTAATAATGCATCTCAAATGCTGAGCTCCATTCAAATTAGTAGAGCGCGATGAGGGCCCCTTGTAGGGACCGGCTCGGAGGCACGTATGGTTCCACATTTATTTACAATTTGCACGTGGGTGTATAATTTGCACGTGGGTGTATAATTCAATGCAGTCCGAATTTTGAGGGAGACTCCGCTTTGATTTGTGGGCTTTTACAGAACCCAGCCAAATGAGGTTAAGATGCGCATTTTACTCTGCTCACTACACGATGGCCCCATTTGCTGTTGCAGGCTGATGCCAGGCGGGGGGGGGGGGGGGGGGTTCCTGCGTTGGTGCCGTGTTTCTCTTCACCCAAGGCCTGGCCTCTTTGCTCGGTCCCAACAAACGGCCCCCTCTCGCTCGCAGACCAGCCACTGCTCCCCCCCCCACCCCCACGTCGGTTTCATGAATGCCACGCTCAATCAAAAAAATGCTTGCACCGCTCGTCAGGACTCAGACGTAGTTTGTGGTAAGCAGGTTGAGAAACTCGAGAGACCAGGGCGAGTCTCGTCCGCAAGAGTGACTGTCCTGCGTTACAAAAACGACAAAATAAATAACGTGAAGAAAACAAAACTAAGTTCAGCATTGAAGTAAATATAAATCAGAGCAAAAGCAGAATCAGTATCTATATTTAGACTGCGGGAGGAATCCGATGAGCTATGAAGCTCTTTTTCACTGATGTCCAGTGTGGGCGAGTCAAATAGAAAGCAGAGCATGTTATTTCACAATCCCTGTCGATGGCGACATGAGAGATGATTTTGAGTGAAAGCCACCTCTTATGTGTTTGTTCCTACAATAACTTGAACGCGAATGCAACGCATGAACACGTGAGCGATACGTGCCGACACGTGTGAACGCAGAAAGCACGCCTCATGACCCGTTAGTGTAAGGTGACCCACACTGGTTTTGGGCACCGCTGCTTTAAAACGCAATGCACAGTGGAACTTCTCAGATCCGCAATCATCATGGGGGTGACGCCATCGTGGATAAGCGTTTACACTTATTTCCAACTCTTTATTATGCGTCACTACTTAACGAACAATGCCTCTCGTCCGAAACAGGTGACCTGGTGACGTCGCCCAAATGCAGTGGCAGAGTAAGTGCATGCCGATTACTCCGTCGTAGCATTTGCAGGGAGTGCGCTGATAAGCCAGTAAAAAAGGTTAGTTGCGTTTTCCGTGATCAAAATACTGCGACGGTGAGCATAAGTGCCCTTTGGATGACGTGGGAACGTGCCCATTTGTAATTACAAAGGAGTACTAATATAGAAATGTGTCCGATAGAACATGTGTTGTATCGTAGACGGAGGTACTCGGAGACGGAGGTTGAGTTAGGGGCTTCCGCCAGGGTTTATTAACACTTATCACTATCCCTGGTTCCCTCTTTACCCCTTCCACTATCCCCGTTCCTCCAGTGACCCCGCTTACGTTACGGGGTCTCCCTTATATACCCTCGGAGGGGTGATGTCGCGTGCACTGCCCAGCGCGTGCGACCCCACGTCCCGTGAGGTCACCGCACCTGACAGCGCACACGACGCCACCACTCTCCACTACTCCTCTACATCACCCCCCCCCGTAAAAAAAAAACAGCCGACCCGGCTGCAATCAACCTTAGGGCAGCACGGCCCTTCAAGCAGAACAGTAACAACAAAAAAACAAAACAAATAGAGCCCGAAGGCCTCATCCGCCGGATAGCGCCGAACGGGCGCCAGGGGCTAGGCCCGCTGAACGGCCATCAGGGCCGTCACCGGAGCCGCACCCCCCTCGAGCGGGTATGCGCTGCTGGCCCGCTCCCTCGTGCGGTGTCCGCCACCCGTGCAGGTGGGCCGTCAGCGGGCAACAGGCCCACCGCCGTGGCCTCCGGTGCCTGGGGGGTCTCTGTCGGCCTCACTCGGGAGGGGCCTGGGGGCACACACACAGGTCGGACGTCACCTCCGTCAACGAGACCCGGCCGGTCAGGCACGCCGGATACATCATCAGCCGGCCGCTCCGGAATTGGGGGTGGATCCCCCAGGGTAGATGGAACATAACGTTTGAGCCGGGACGGGTGCACTATCCACTGCCTGCGACCGAATCGAATCCGGACGCATTGCGGCCGGCGGACCTCCACAACCTCCACGGGTCCCTGCCAAGGGCGATGCAATTTGGCCGATGTGCCAACGGGGACCTGGGGACAATGCAGCCACGCTTTTTGACCCGCTACCCACGGGAGGCCAGCTGCCTGGTGTTTTGGCAGCCGCTCATTAGCCGCCTGCCGGCTTGCGGAATTCTCGGCAGCGGCCTGTCGCGCCTCGCGCAGCCGGTCAAGTGCGACCTTCAAAGGGGTCGGCACCGACGACCCCTTCTTGGAGGAGCCAACGTCCATCTGGACGTGCACCGGGGGCTCCGGTTCCCTACCGTACATTAAATAAAAAGGCGAAAATCCCGTGGAGGCATGAGGGGCCAACCGATACGCCGCCAAGACCCCCGGGACGAACAGGTCCCAGTCTGACTGGGACGTGTTCACCTGGTGGCACAGCATGGACGTAAGGGTGCGGTTCAAGCGCTCTACCATCCCATCTGACTGGGGGTGGTAGGGCGAGGTGCGGATTTTCTTGGTGCCAAGGAGGTCACACACCTCCTTGAGCAACCTAGACGAGAAATTCCGCCCCTGGTCAGTCAACAATTGTTCCGGCGCGCCCTTGTCAAACACGTATCCCTGGACGAAGGCCTCGGTGATAGAAGAGGCCAACTGATCGACCAAAGGCCATGCCATGGGCCAACGTGTGAGGTACTCAACGCCCACCAAGAGGTATTTGTGGCCCCGTTGGGATGCAGGGAATGGCCCCAAAATGTCGAGCGCCACGAGCTCATTAACGCGAGAAACCCGGATGGACTGCAGCGGGGCCCGGTCCTGGACAACTGGGGCCTTCCTCCGCGCGCAGTCGTGGCAACCCTTCAAAATCAGTGCTACGTCACCCTCAACACCCGGCCAGTAATAGTCCCGCTTAAGGGTCAATAAGGTCTTGTGGTAGCCAAGGTGCATAAGCTTCTCGTGAATGGCTCGGGTTAATTTACCACGCAGGCTAGTGGGCACAACCACACAATAGCGTTCCAATTGGGCATCCCAACGCATGAGTAGTCCGTCATGCACGGCGATCGCCGGGGCAGCCGACGAAGCTAAGCTCCGGGCGTTATGTCCGACACGGCGCCGTAGCTTCAGCAGAGAGGAATCCTCCATCTGCAAGCCGGACCATACCTCCCGGGGAAGTCCAAGGCCGAAATCTGCGGTCGACGCCGCACCTGGAGGGGTGTCCGCCTCGGCCGACGCGACCAACTGGGCCGCGGCGTCCCCTGGGGCCTTGCAACGGCTAGAGCCCAGGGCGCAAGCACACCCGCCGCCTGCCGGCAATCGGGATAAACCGTCCGCATTTCCATGCTGTGTCCCCTTCCTATGGATTACATCAAAAGGGTAATCCTGGAGCACTTCGAGCCAGCGAGACAGCTGACCCGAGGGCTGACTAATCTTCAGCGAATATTGCAGGGCCGCGTGGTCGGTTCGGACCGTAAACAGCCTACCGTACAAATATGGTCTATACAACTGAACAAAATAAACTATGGCCAAAAGCTCCCTCCGGGTCACACAATATCGCTGTTCCGTCGAGGACAGAACGCGACTGCCATAGGCTACCACCCTCTCAACCCCGTCGACCACCTGGGCCAGGACAGCCCCAATTCCCGTGTCGCTGGCATCGGTATCGAGCAGGAAGGGTTTCGTAAAATCCGGGTACCCCAAGGGCGGCGCATCCGCCAAGGCCGTGCGAAGCGCCGCAAAAGCCGCCTCCTCCTCCGCGCCCCAGTGAAACCTTTGTCCTTTGGCGGAAAGGGCGTGCAGTGGCTTCGCAATTGTCGCAAAATCGCGGACAAACCGGCGATAGTACGATGCGAATCCAACGAAGCTACGCACCTCCGCGACAGATGTGGGAGTCGGCCACGTCCGGACACAAGCCGTTTTATCCGGGTCCGTGGCGACACCTGACGTGCTAACAATGTGTCCCAAATACCTCACCGATGGTTGTAGCAAGTGGCATTTCTGGGGTTTGAATTTCAAGCCAGCAGCACGCACTTTGACGAACACCGCCTCAAGGCGTTGCAAGTGCTCGCCAAACGTACGGCCAAAAACAATAACGTCATCCAAGTAGATTAGACAAGACTCCCACTGCAGCCCCGCCAAGACCATCTCCATGAGACGCTGGAAGGTGGCCGGGGCCGAATGGAGACCCATAGGAAGCCGATTGAACTCGAACAACCCCTGGGGCGTGCGGAACGCTGTTTTGGGTCTAGAGGCCTCATCCAGTGGCAATTGCCAGAAGCCGGAGAGCAAATCTAAAGTCGAAAAGAACCGCGCGCCCGAGAGGGCGTCCAAG